TGGCTGTCGTGACATTGCGCCGCCGCCCTCGGCGCGGAGCGTTGTCCCTGACAATCGTGGTTTGCCCCGTGCACGGCTGCAGCAATCGATGGTCGGCGACGATCACGACGATAAGGAACGGGCACTAACGGCGAGGACGGGAAGGGTGGGGAGGCTAGGGGTGGAGGGAGTGGGAAGGAGAGGTGGAGGGAGTGGAGTGGGAGGGCTAGAGGTGGAGGGATTGGGAAAGCTAGCGGTGGAGGGAGGGCTGGGAAAGGGGAGGGACTTCGGATTGGAAATCGAATCGGCACGATTACATTGGTTTGACGCGTGATCGAAAGCCCCAGACGTTCCACCTCGCCCGATAGCCCGAAGACGGTTCTCGCAAGCGGAACCCCTCTCCCCGATTACTGGGCACGCTGCGTGACAAGGGTCAGAACGTCGGATCGGATGAGGGGGAAACGGCGTGGATTGGCGTGGGGGGGTGCTAAGATGAGAAGAATTGGGGGGAAGTGGGGCGGCCCCTGGACCTCCTCTCCACGGTCACTTCTCTGTTCGAGAACCCCCGCCCCCGGCAATGACGACGACGTGACCAGCGCGATCGGGGATTTGATGGACACTGGTGCCACGAGGACTGCACCACGGCGGTCCGCCTCCGCATTGCACCATGCGCCTCTCAATTGGGCTCGAGCTTCTGCACCAGCCCCATGCACAAGCTCCTGCAGTTCATGGGCATCTGATCGACCTCCTCCTCCTCCTCCTCCTCCTCCTCAGCATCGTTCTCCTCTTCTTCTTCCTCCTCGCCCTCCTCGCCCTCAGATTCCCCCTCGGGCTCCTGGGCGGCAGAGGGCCGCTGCTTCGCCGTAGGCCTCTTGCGAATGGCCTCCTTTGCAGCGGGCCGCTTGCTTGGCACGGCCTTCATGGGGGCACCCTTCGGGCGTGGGCGGCCAGCGGGCTTCTTCAGCACGACAGCTTTGCTCCTCGGCCTCGTCCTCCTCCTCCTCACCCTCATCGCCGCCATCGCCAGCGTCTGCCTCGCCTGGCGCTTCCTCATCCTCCTCTTCCTCTTCCTCAGCCTCCTCCTCCTCCTCGCCCTCGCCCTCGGCGTCTTCGTCTTCCTCTTGGCCCTCGTCCTCGTGCTTGCTCTCCTCGGCCCTGGCTTTCTGGTCAACTTTGCGGGCGCCTCCAGGCTTCGATCGAAGTGGCACTTTGTTGTCGACCTCGTCCATCTCATCCTTCGCAAGCTGCCGCTTGTAGGCTGTGACCTTCTCATCCCTGGCAGCTGTCAGATCCTCTTTCGTCGTGAGCTTCTTTGCAGCATACTTTTTGGCGATGCCGATCATCGTCTTCAGCGCGAACTCCTTGTCATGATTTACTGACCTGTACGTGATCTGAAGCTTTTGTGAAGAACCGTCTTTTATCACAATGCCATCGGTGATGGTCTTGTCCTTCTCGGTCGAGAGCTTCTTGTACTCCACCCTCACCCTGGAGTCCCCGCGGACGCCCTCCCAGAACACGTTGCTGCCAGCTGCTCTCGCGCCACCCTCCGAGCCGTGCCCCTGGCTCGAGAACTCAATCACCGCGAGCGTTGGTATCTCGTGCTCCTCATCGCTGCCGCCGAACCTGCAAAACATGAACGGCTCGTCGCCCTTGTTGTAAATGTCACGTGTCGTCTGGATGATCTTCCCCGTCGCCGCGTCGGTCTTCGTTGCCGCGGAGTCTGCAGGATTGTAGCCGATCACGAGATCGCCAAGCTGTACTTTACGACGCTTCGGCAACGATGATCCATCATCCGAGGTGGCCTTCCTGCTGTGCTTCTCGTCGTGACCATCCTCGGGCTTCATCAGCGAAGGGATGATCATGCCAGCTGCACGCTGCCTGCGACGAATCTCTCCAAGCCAGCTCGGTGTCTTCTCGCCAACTCTCTCCTTGCGGTACGCGTCGTAGACGTGCCTGCACATCGAGCGGAGCCTGGGCCGCTCTCTCTCTCTCTCTCTCTCTCTGTCGTGTTCCTGCCTTGCCCTTCATCCTCCTCGCCCTCGTCCTCCGCCTTGCAGTCCTTCCCAAGCCCACCTCCTGACCCTTCGCTTAATTTTCTCAGCCCACCCCCCTATCCTCTCTCTTCATCCTTCTCCTCCTCGTGCGCCGCTATCCCCCATGCTAGTTTTGTCGCCATCGTGTGTTCGCACTGGTGCTCGCATAGCAACGCATGCGAATGCAACGCAATGCCACGGCAGACCCCCAAACCTCCCCGGCACCATGCCAATCGCGAGTTACGTTTGAGAAGGGGCCCCGCCCTCCTCCCGTATCCCCTGTCCCCTCGTTCTCCTCCGCGTTGCCATCCTCTTTACCACCACCGCTCTCACCCCTCGCCCCTCCTTCAGTTCTACGGGCCCGAGCCCCCAGGAGTCCCGAGATGTTCAAGTTCACAGGCGCCCTTGGGCAAGGGGGATGAGGATCGACTGTCGCGTGGGACGCGCCTCCGCCGGGCATCCCAGGAGCCCGCGAAAGTGGCGGAGACCTTGGCGGGCTGGGCGCGCGCTGTCGGAAGGGGTGGAGGAGGGGCTGGAGGAAGAGGGGGAGGATGAGGGGGAGGGGGAGGAGGAGGGGGGTGAGGCGATGGGGAGCAGGAGGAAGGGAGGGGGTTGGCGTGGGGGATGGCGTCGGAAGGTTAGCCACCCTCCCCTCGAGTATGATTTCACTGAGCCCCTTTGAACCTCGCACTGTTGGAGGTCGCCCATGTCTGCTGCATTGCCTCATCTAGTCCCCATGCAGCAGCTTTGGCCTGGGCGATCTTGGCGAACGCCGCTGTCGTCGGACCCTCGACGATGCTCATGTTCGGGGCGACGAGCTCGATGCGCCCCAGCAACTCGCGGCGGGTGAGGGGTGCAGGCCGAGCAAGTGACGCGGACGATGGGGAAGCAAGAGAACGTTGACGACATCGACAGAGGAGGAGGAGGAGGAGGAGGAGGAGGAGGAGAAGGAGGAGGAGGAGAGGGAGGAGGAGGAGGAGGAGGAGCTAGGAGGAGGAGGAGGAGGAGGAGGAGAAGGAGGAGGAGAAGAAGGACGACTAGGAGGACAAGGAGGACAAGGAGGACCAGGACGAGCAGGAGGAGGTGGAGAAGGAGGAGAAGGAGGAGTAGGAGGAGGAGGAGGAGGAGGAGGGAGGGCCTCACTTCTCCCTCCTCATCTTCCTCCTGCTCCTCCTCCTCCTCCGAACTTCCTCCTGCTTCTCCTGGTCCCTGCCTCTCCCCCCCTCCTTCCGTGCTAACCCCTGGCTTCGAGCGGGCCTCGAACTGAGCGATGACCTCCTCCTTGGCCCTGCTGCTGAACTGGTCTTTGCCAGGGCAGACGCCGTACGTCAAGAAACACTGCTTGGTGACCGACGGGAGGATGGCGTTCTCAAGCGCCGTGGCGTCGCTGGATGCCATTTTGTCACATTTTCCTCCTCTTCCTCATTATGGTTCCTGCTGGCATTACTCATCTTACCCGTCCACTCCATCATCCTCATATTACTTCCTCTCTTCCTTCCTTCCTTCCTCCTCCTCCTCCTGCTCCTCCTGCTCCTCCTCCTCCTCCTCCTCCTCCTCCTCCTCCTCCTCCTCTTTCTCCCCCCTCCCCCTCGGATCCTCCCCTTCTTCCACTATCCTCGGACCTCGGCCTCCAGTTCTCGAGCGAAACTCCGATAGTGGGAAATAGCAGGAGGAGGAGGAGAAGGAGGAGGAGGAGCAGGAGACGGAGGAGGAGGAGGAGTGGGGGGGTGAGGAGGAGGAGAAGGAGGAAGAGGAGGAGGAGGAGGTGGAGGAGGAGGAGGAGGTGGACAAGGAGGATCGAGGAGGAGGATCTAAGAGGAAAAGACGAAAAGACGAAGGATCGACGAGGAGGATCTAAGACGAGGATCGAGCAGGAGGGGAGGGGAGGAGGAGTTGGAGGAGTAGGAGGAGTAGGAGGAAGAGAGGAGGAGGAGGAGGAGGAGGAGGAGGAGGAGGAAGAGGAGGAGGAGGAGGAGGAGGAGGAAGAGGAGGATCGAGGAGGAGGATCTAGGAGGAAACGACGATCGGAGCAGCAGCAGCAGTAGGAGGGGAGGGGAGGAGGAGGAGTTGGAGGAGTAGGAGGATCTAGGAGGAAAAGACGATCGGAGCAGCAGCAGCAGCAGGAGGGGAGGGGAGGAGAAGGAGTTGGAGGAGTAGGAGGAGCAGGAGGAAGAGAGGAGGATGAGGATGAGGAGGAGGAGGAGGAAGAGGAGGAGGAGGAGGAGGAGGACGAAGAGGAGGAGGAGAGGAGGAGGAGGAGGAGGAGGAGGAGGAGGAGGAGGAGGACAAAACAGTGTCCTGCAGCTCTCCCTGTAGCTGCCTCTGCTGCTGCTGCCGCCGGGGGACGCCATGCGCCCCGCGCCGCCCGGCAGGCGCAGCGTCGAGGGCGACGCCGAGCCCCACGAGCTGCAGCACCAGCGCGGGCGCGGATGGCACGAGCACGCGCACGCCCGCCCGACCCAGGATTCCAGGTTCAGGACCCCAGCGCCCAGGATCGCCACGACCCCCAGGCCCCCAGGCCCAACCCAGGACCCATCCAGGACTCCAGGGCTCCAGGTTTCAAAGCCCAGGCCCCCGACCTGAGACGCGCGCGCGCTCGTGCGAGTGTTCGTTCGTGTTTTGTTCGTGCGTGCGTTGTTGCATTCGATCGTGCGGTGCGTGCGGGTTTTCGTCTTTGGTGTTTGGTGATCATCGTGCTCGTGTTTTCAGTTCCTTCTCCTTCCTTCCTCCTTTCCCCATCTATACCTTGACGCCCCGATCGGCCCCCCAAGTACAAGGAGAAGAAGGAGGAGAAGAGGAAGAGGAGAAGGAGGGCAAATTATTGAACAATGTGATTTCATCATAATATACAGCTATATATGTATCCTAAGATGTCATGAGTACAATATAAGACTCAAGTCCTAAACAAGCAGTCGGCGATCGAAGTCCTAGGCTATAGGACTTGATGCCTATGTAAGACTTGACTTGCTATCCTAAGGCTCGGAGGACCTCTGGGTAGTGGCCCCCTGCAGGGAAGGAACGCCCCACAGGACCACGCCCCAGGATGTTCTTCGCGTCAAACATCTGCTGCGTCAGTTCCGGCACGGTCAGAGCGCGGCACTGCTGGCTGCCGCGGGACGTCAGCGGCGCGAACCCAGTCATGAAGAAGCGCAGGCGCGGGAAGGGGATCAGGTTCACTGCGATCTTGCGCAGGTCGCAATGCAGCTGACCAGGGAAGCGGAGCCACGTGGTGACGCCGCTGATCGCTGCGCTCACCTGGTGGTTCAGATCTCCGTACGTAGGCGTGGTCAGCTTCAACGTGCGGAAGCACATGTCACACAGGGCCTCACTGTCGAGCAGGAAGCACTCGTCGGCGTTCTCCACCAGCTGGTGGAAAGACAGCACCGCGTTGCACGGCTCGACAACGGTGTCACTGACGTTCGGGCTGGGAATGATGGAGAAGGTCCCCATGATTCTGTCGGGGTACTCCTCGCGGACCTTCGAGATCAGCAGCGCCCCCATGCCCGCGCCGGTGCCGCCGCCGAGGGGGTGGCGCATCTGGAATCCTTGGAGGCAGTCGCAACCTTCGGCTTCTTTGCGGGCCACGTCCAAAGCGCTGTCGATCAGCTCCGCCCCCTTAGTGTAGCGCCCCTTCGCCCAATTGTTGCCCGCACCTGTTCGGCCGAAGATCGCGAAAGAATAAGCGATGACTATGGCCAATCCCGGAGAAAACCAAGCCAACGAGGTAGCTGAAGATCTGGATCAACAGCCCCTTGCCGAAGGACATTGCGAAGATATACCTATATATATATATATGATACCTTGCCAGAAAGTGAAGCCGAAGATGCACGGTGATCGTCAGCCTTGCCCAAAACATGTGTGAAGCCGAAGATGTAGTATGGAGATCGTCAGCTGCTTTCCCCAAACACGTGCGAAGCCTAGAATGCACGGAAACCGTCAGCTTCTTGCCAAAAACGGCGAAGATGATATATGATATCTTGCCAGAAAGCGAAGCCGAAGATGCATGGAGACCGTCAGCCTCTTGCAAAAAAAAAAAAAAAAAAAAAAAAAAAAATCCGAAGCCGAAGATGTAGCGTGGAGATCGTCGGCTCCTTCCCCAAAACACGAAGCCGAAGATGCATGGAGACCGCCAGCCTCTTGCCAAAAACATGTGCGAAGCCGAAGATGTAGCATGAAGATCGTCAGCTCCTTCCCCACAACACGCGCGAGGCCGAAGATGCATGGAGACCGTCAGCCTCTGGCCAATATGATGAAGATGATGCACGCGCGGCCTCTTCCAGAATTCTATGCATTAGAAAAGAAGCAGAACGGACGTGATGGACCAGGTCTCCTCCTCCCCATCCCCCCTCCGCCTCCTCTTCCTCCTCTATCTCCTCCTTTCCTGGGCGGCAGCCGCGCCGCCGCCTCCTGCCGCGCCTTTTCCCTTCCCCTTCTCCCTGGCGCCAACGCCCAAGCGGTGCTCGAAGATGCCCTGCCGGACCTGCTTGTGCCGCTCCAGGAAGACCTCGATGGCGCCAGTTGCTTCGTTCTGCAGCGCTGGCCAGCCCAAGCGCGCTTGCAGCGCATCGCTGGGCGGGGGCCGCGGCCGCTTGCCGGCCGGGCCTGGGCACGGGCACTGCCGCAGCAGATGCAGGAGGTGCCCCCCCCCCCCCCCGATGGGGGACACTGGATGTCCTCTCCGTGAGCCGACGCCCACGCTGCCGGCGACATCGTCGCTCCTGTCAGCACGGGCAACACTGCAGGATCGCGCCGGCACGCCCCGATGGCCGCCTTCAGCCTCCGACTGTCGTAGCCGATGCGACGGCAGACGAAGGGTCGTTCCACGCCTGCCGCTGCCATAAGCTGTACTTCGTAGCCCTCCACGATTCACGGAGGTCGCGCTTGACCTCGTCCTCGGGGGCGACCTCCGCCGGCCGCAGCCTGATGGTGGCCTGCGCGACGGGGCGCCGCCAGCGCCAGCCCTCCTGCAGGGCGCCCGCGCCGCCACCAGCACCGCCCGCGTCTTCCTGCCACCCCAGCTGCTGCATCCACTCCCGGAGGCACTTGGGCCAGCCGCCGCCGCCCCACGCCCCAGGCAGGGCGCGCGTCTTGCCCACCCGCCGCACTGCCGTCGTCACCTCGGCCTCCACGACGCGGTAGAAGACGCTGGTAGAATGGCCAATCAGCATCTCGAAGAGGTGAGGCGACGCCCGCTTCGGCATCCGCAGTGCTCCGTGCACCGTTGCTTCCAGCTTGTCCACTGCTGCCGCGGGCGGGCGCCGGGCAACCCATCCCCACGAGGCCCCTCCGAGGACTCCCGACACGAAAGGCCTCCTGGCGCCCGTGCGCAGCGACAATGGCGATCCTCCTCAGGCGCCCCGCCGCGACGTCGAGCCGTTTCTGCTCCTTGTCCTGCAGGCCCACCCGGCGCGCAGGCTGCATGTAGCACCCCAGGATCAGCGGGGCCACCCTGACGGCCGTCGCCGCCACGCCTGCCTGCTGCCCCAGGGCCCTCCTGCCCTCGGCCGCGCGGTGGGAGAACTGCTCCTCGCCCCCATTCTCCTTCAGTCCGAGGGTGGCGCTCCACCGCCGCCAGGCAGCCCCGAGCGCTGCTGCCATTCTTGCCGCGGGCGTCGCCCAGCTCCTGTCGCCCATCCAAGTGCCCTGTCGCGCCTGGGGGAACGGGCCTTGAGGTCCACCACGGGCCCTGCCAGCAGAGCGCCCACACCGATGACGCTCCAGCAGTCTCCCTGGGGCATCGAGGAGGTCACCTCGCAGGGGGTATTGTGCACGTGCCCCTGTACCTCCACCCATCGCTTCTGGCGCTGCCAGACTCCGGCGATGAGCCTGTTCACCGAGGCTGGCAAGCCCAAATTGCCAAAGAGTGTTTCCACGACGGCCGGATCTGCAAGATCGAAAGCCAGCGAGTAGTCGAAGGAGGCGAGGAAAGCGCCGCCCTCGAAGTCCTCCAGCAGCGGGAGGAAAGTGTCCGCGACCTCCATGCCGGGCCTGCCTCCGCACGCCTCCTGCGGCCACCAGGTCGACAACCACTGCTGCGCGCCCCAGGTGCGCATCCTTGCCGACCCCCATAGCCGCCACCACGAGCTGAGGACGGTGATCGGCAGGAGGGTGGCGCAGTCCACCGCGCCGTCCGCCCGGACCCCTTTGCCGTCCTTGGGCAGGAACACGGCCCTGGCCCGGGCCCGGGCTTCCGGGGGGCGCCCGCCTCCTCGACGTAGCGCAGCGCCCGCGCCAGGTGGCGCCAGATCTCCAGCGGCAGGTCTGCAAGCTCCGCGCCGCTCCAGCCATCCGCGCCGCACGCGGCCCCTCGCTGCCGCTGGGCGGCGCCGCGCAGCTACGCAGCGTTGACTGCCTCGAACCAGGCCGGCTGCGCCGCGGGGGGCACCTCCGCGAGGGCGTCCACGACCTCATCCGGCCGTTGTCGCTCCCTGTCCCAAACCACCCTCCAGTGGGCCTGCAGGCACTCCAGGGTCTCCTGCATGGCACTCGTGGCGCACCCCTTGCGCACGTGTTCCGAGTAGACGCCGGTGAAGGGCCGTAGCCAGGCGTCTCTCACCCATTGCCACGCAGCCCTGTGGTTGCCCCTCATCTTGGCCCGCCAGTCGCGCAGGCGCGTTTGGAATGCGCCCTGGCGCATCTCTTCCAGCAGGCGCTCCGCCGCCGCCTCGGCGCCCCCCTGGGGGCTCCGGCGCCCTGCCCTGGTTTCCTCCGCGGCCCAGAGTAGCTGCCGCAGCCTCTGCGCCTCCTCGCTCGCACTCTGGCCGCACGCCTCCAGCCATCCCAGATGCTTCAGCCGAGTGACCCGGGTGGCCTGGGCAAGGATCGCGCGCCCGCTCTCGGCGCCGAAGCCCTGCGACGCCCTGTCCTGCGGTTGCGCCAAGTGCTGGCGCGTCTTCGACCGCCCCCAGCCCGGGCCCTCCAAGGCTGGATATTTGCCCTCCCTGCGGTACAGCTCCCGGCGCGCGCCCCGGAAGGCCCCTTCCAATGCGATCATGGTGGAGCACCACAGGCGGTCGACCACCGCGGCCTCCTGCCCAGCGCCTGGGTGCCGGGAGGGCACCGGCATCGGCGTGTACTGGCGCCAATGCCTCACCACCAGCTGTTTGGCCGAAGACAAAAGTGTCTGGGCGGAAGAGCTGGCCGAACGGCCTGGCCCGGACGCTGTCCATGGTGCCGGGCTCCAGGTCCATCAGCACCGCGCGTGGAACGTAGCGCCCTCTGGTCGCCTCGTTGTAGTACACGTTGATGCGCTCCAGCTGGAGGCCGGAGTCTCCGCGATAGGTTCCAGTGGGGTCGACGCCGTGCTCGTCGGAGATGACCTCGGCGGGGGCGAGAAAGGTCTCTGTAGACCACCCCTCCGGCACAGCTAACATGAACCACCACCTAGCGACCTTAGGCACTATCCTGCACCCGACGGAGGGCTTGCTCGTAAGGGTCCCGCAATCCACACGGGCAGGTTCCTCCGTCTGGGTCTCCTCACAACACTGGGATGACACTATATTTGGCGAACTGCAGGTGGGCTGAGGGTTCTGGCGCCGGTGCACTCCCACCACTACCCATGGGTCCTTCGTTTGCTATATCGTTGTTGCTTAACACCGATGCTTATATGATAAGCATCGTAAGTTGACAACATCGCCATGTTGACTATATAGTCTATATAACAATCGTTATTCCATCATATTTTACTGTAATCACTATATATAGTTAACACCGCACGTGCGGATCGGTTGCCGCGTGCCCCATCGGGTTTGTTAGATGGAAATCGCGGCGGCGATCTCGATCATGTAGCGTCGCATGCGCTATTTTCACGTTTCGTGCCGCGCTGTGCCTTAAACGCTCGTTTTGTTGTGCGTGGTGCCACGGTATACACGTCGCCGCCGTTCTAGGGCCAAGTGCCGATTCGAACCGCGCTCGCACGCGCGATGGTTTGTGATTGTTGCGTCGTGGGTTCGTTTGTTCGTGCGTTCTGTGGCGTGTTTGATTGCCTGTTTGTTTGTTTGGTCGTGCGTTTGCTTGCTTGCGTGCTTCCTTGCTTGCTTGCTTGCTTGCTTGCTTGCTTGCGTGCTTGCTTGCTTGCTTGCTTGCGTGCCCTGCAACGCCTCCCGCCCGCGCAGTTGGCACGGCAGGTGGGGGGGGGCCAGGCGCCTGCCCGACACCAGCGACAGCAACAGCAGGATGCCGCTCCCCCTGCTCGCTGTCGCCGTCGTCGTCAGCGTCGCCGTTTAACGACGGCGACGGCGACGGACGTCGACGTCGACGGTCGAGGACGACGACGATCGACGACGAAAGCCACGTCGACGTCAATGACGTCGACGTCCGTCGCCGTCGCCCGTCGTCGTCGGCGACGTCTATCGTCGACGACGTCTTCGTCGACATCCGTCGCCGACGTCGTCGACGTCGAAGGTCGACGTCGCCGACGTCGGAGGAGGATGAGGAGGAGCAGCAGCAGGAGCAGGAGCAGGAGGGGGAGGATGAGGAGGACGACGGCGAGGAGGACGAGGAGCACGAGGACAAGGACGAGGCCGTGGACGAGGGTAGGAGGCGGAGGAGGAGGAGGAGGAGGGGAGGAGGAGGAGGAGGAGGAGGAGGAGGATGAAGGGGAGGAGGGAGGAGAGGACTCGGGACGATCGCACTGCACGTGCGGTCATAGTTGCTCGAACTTGCGGGCACGCCGAGCCGAGCCGAGCCGCTCCACGCGGGAGGCGCACCAGGAGGAGGGGGGACGACGACGACGACGACGACGACGAGGACAAGGACGAGGACGAGGACGAGGCCCAGGACGAGGAGGAGGAGGCGGAGGAGGATGATGAGGAGGAGCAGGAGCAGGGGAGCAGGGGAGAAGGGATGAGGGAGAATAAGACAGGGGCAAGGGAGGGGAGGATATGATAGGAGGAAGCTGCGGAAGAGGCACAGGGCGGCCGCTCTCAGCGGGCGGCCGCTCTCAGCGGGCGAGGCTGGGCGACAATGTCATATGATCGATGTCGCATCGACGAGTTCTTCCTGGGGGGTCACACCCATGGCAATAACTCCCCCCGTCCTCCATCCCCCTCTCGTCCTCATCCGCCTCCTCCTCCTGCTCCTGCTCCTCCTCCACTCCTCCTCCTCCTCCGCCACCTCCTCCTCCTCCTCCTCCTCCTCATCCTCCTCCCCCTCCTCCTCCTCCTCATCCACCTCCACCTCCACCTCCTCCTCTCCTCGCCCCTCCTCCTCCTCTCCTCCTCCTCCTCTCCTCCTCCCCCTCCTCCTCCTCCTCCTCTTCCCCCTCCTCATCCGACGTCGGCGCGTCCTAGACCTTCGACGTCGACGACGTCGGCGACGGACGTCGAACCGAAGACGTCGTCGAACCCGCATGTCCCTCAGTCCTTATCATGTTCGTCCTCACCCCCCCCCCCCATTTCTGACGTAAGCCCTCGCCCTGATCCTCCCTCGCTCTTCCTTCTCCTCCTCCTCCTCCACCTCCTCCTCCTCCTCCTCCTCGCTCCTTCCCGCTCCCTCCTCCTCCTCTGCTGCTGCTGCTGCTCCTCCTCTTCCCTCCTCTTCCTCCTCCTCCTCCTCCTCCTCGCCTCCTACACCTCCTCCTCCTCCTCCTCCTCCTCCTCATCCTCATCCTTCATCATTCCTCCTTCCTCCTTCCTCCTCCTCCCTTTTGGCCAAGTCCTCGGATCGAATATTGAGGCTCCCCATGATATAATCTTGAAATTGATCAATAGACATCTGCCTGGCCTCCGACACCATGTGCGCTGCGCCCTCTCAGTCGGCGCGAACGGTCTGCCACTCGGGCGCCGGTGATCTGTCTGGACCTCGATTGGCTGACGACGGAGACAATACAGTAACTCGAGCTCCTATCGGGGGTGCGTGTATGCGCGCGCCCTCTCCATCTCTCTCTCGCCCATCCCCCTCCCCCATGCCGCTCTCTTCGCATTCGCCATCCCTTTCTCTCCCAGAGAAAAGGAGGGGTGAGGAATGAGCGATCAAGAGAATATATCGCCATCTCGCGAGATATTCTGCATCGCCCGTTCCTCCCCCCCCTCTCTCTGTATCTCTCCCGTCCACCGCAAACCCCGCCCTGCGTTACCACCCCTCCCCTCCCGAACACTCGCCCCCCCCTCTTCCCGTGTCGCCCCGCGTCGCACCCCCTCTCGCCCAAGGGCCGGAGGGGGGGGGCGGGGGTAGACAGAGCACCAGGGCCCCTGGAGGTCCTGCCAAGTAAGGTAGCGTCGCTCATCTGGCCCGTCAGCGCACGAGCAAGTCACTTGCCACTGCTGGTCTAATACAGACCAGCAAATTAGAACTGAACGAGGCGAGCGCAATGGTTCGGCATCAGATTCTTCATCCGAAGACATGAAACCACCACCATCTTGCAAAGACATTCTGGATGGCTTGGGCAACCACGGGGGGGGGGGAGGGGCGTTCCAGTCCCTTGTTTCGTTCTGGTTAACTCGACCGACGCGCGACGGGGGCCCGAAGGGGACCGAAAAGGAACGAGGGGCGGGCACCCAGGAGCCAGACAACGCCGATCGAGGGACACGACCGAAAAACAAGGACCGAAACCTCGAAGGCCCGACACCCGCGCCAGGAGGAAGGCACTGCACGGCCAGTGGAGAGAGGGGGGCGGGCGAGGGAGGGAACAGGGGGGCCTGCGGAGGAGGGGCGGAGTGAGAGACAGAGACAGAGAGAGAGAAGGAGGGAGAATCAGAGAGAGAGAGAGAGAGAGAGAGAGAAGCCCCAGCCGTGCACGGTGTCCTTCCGATGGCTCCCAAGTTCGTTCCCCCATCCATTCCCTCCTCCTACTCCTCCTCCTCCTCCTCCTCCTCCCTCCTCACCCCCCCTCCCACCCCATCATCATCCTCCCCCTCCCCTCCTTCCCGAGAGAATTGACGCCGCCAGGCTCCACCCAGCAAGAGTCGTGGCGTCGCACGGCCCGACCACCAGAAGTACCAGGGCACATTCACAGAGGGGCGCGGGGGGCGAGTGGCTTCCAGAAATGGGCTTCCAGAAGGGGGGGCGGGGGAAGGGGGGATTCAGTAGCGGGGCCCCGAAGGTGGGCCGCTGGCAATTCTGATGGCATGCAATTCGACAGCCACCCCAGCTCGACTGATCTACCAGCAATTCCGAACGTCAGCAACTCCGATGCCCAGATAAACCTGCAAGTCAAGTCTGGCGAACACCCCCTTTTCCCAGCACCCTGATCTCGCGAGCGACGCCTGGGCGAGCAGCGCCAGTACGTGATTGAGCGTCTCGTCGCGCCAGGTCGCGTAGCGACGAGGGTGTCCGAAGAATGGCATCCTGAGCGAGCTGGCAGGGGTGGGGAGGGGCGGGGGCCAGTTAGACTGGACGCAGCTCGAAAAACTGGCGCGTGGACTTCGGGGCGGGGCCCCTCCCCCCAAGAGGGCGCGCTGGCTCCGAAGCGCTCGCCCCGACGCGAGATCTTCGCACCCAGGCCCCCTTCCCCCTTCCCCTTCCCCCCCCCCCCCCCCCTCCTCCCCCCTGCGCCGAGGAAGACAAGACGCCGACGAGTACTGGTACCAGAAGGCCAGCTATGGGTCGGCCTTCTGCATGTATGCATCCTCCTCCTCCTCCTCCTCCTCCTCCTCCTCCTCCTCCTCCTCCTCATCCTCCTCCTCTCCCTCCTCCGCCTCCTCCTCCTCCTCCTCCTCCTCTTCCCCCCTCCTCCTCCGACGTCGGCGACGTCGACCTTCGACGTCGACGACGTTGGCGACGGACGTTCTATATACGATCTGTACTGTAGGCTACGCTACTTTCCTCACAAGTGCGGTGTACTCCATACTTTATGACATATACTCGCACGATGCCCCACCCCACGACAAACGGGTCCTGTCCACCAATTGCCAGAACAGGTGATGCTTCGGTTTGCGCGGGACCGCCGCAGCCTCCAACATATATAGGTGTCGTACACATCTAGATTTCAGATAACTGTACTCTTCTGGCGTCGGGTCACCAGGGATGGCATCTAATGTGTTGTCCCACTCTAACAACGGCACCGTGCATGCCAGCAGCGCCGTGCCACGCGCAAGCCTGTCAGCGTACTCGGGGAGGGCAACTTGCGCACACCAGCGGAATATCCACTTTGCTTCCATTGCTTTCGACTTCAAAATTGGTTTGTCCTTACTCCCGAACATCGCCAACGTGAACGAATCCATATACGGGGGGTCGAGACCGAGTCTCCTCTGGCTTTCGAAAAACTCCCCGATGCTGTCTCGGAGCTTACCAGCAGCGCGGCTATCCCTCTCGGCTTTCTCTGACAGCATCCCCCCAAACTCTCTGAGATCGCACAGCCTCCACACAGTGGCGAGGATGA